CATTAATAACACTGCTTTCTCTTATTTGTTAAGACTTCTGTATTCCCTCAGCACAAGTGCGTCCATATGCATATAGTCTGTTTGTGTATGTGTAAGAAAGCTTAACAGCCCTGCATGCTATTTCTCATAGTATGTGTTCTGCAGGTACAACACTTAAAATGTGGCTGATCTGCTTGTAGCTAGCAACTTGCCCGGAATTTCCAGATGTCCAGTGACTGAAGAAAGCAGGCATGTCTACCTAGGGTGCTCCACTGTGATACTGCTAATTGCCACCACTTGGAAAGATAATGTCACTAGCATTTGCACTTGTGAGCCTGCTATTTAAGAGACTGGTCTTTATCCCTCCTTGGAAAGAGGAAGAAAACATTCTTGAGAATTGTCTGAGGCATTTAGAACTGCCTAATGATAATAAGCAACATGGTTAAGGACCGGTTTATCCTGTGTATAAGGGTAAAAGTTGGTATTTACTGCCCTTTATCTTATGTATTCACTGAAAATCAATGGTATGTTCTTTTAGATGACTCACACAACTTCATGGTTTCACTGAACTATTTTAGTATGCAAGTGAACTTAAGGGTTATTACATTACATGCGTTAGGGTGCAAAATATTCACGATGTCTTAGTGTGTGTGAGAGCTGTGGAGTTTTTTTCTGTTCTGCCTTCCCTTTCCCCTTCAGTGTAGGGTGTTTTTCAGTGGAGCTGAAATATTAGGAGAGGGATGGTTAACTTCAAAAATACCATATTGCCTGCACCACAGACAGATTCTGAACCAACGAGCTCAGGAGTCAGACATTAGGAAAAAAATGTGCATGCATGGTGTCCAACACACCTGGAAACTGGGTGTTTGTGAGAGGAAGGAATTGAAGAGGCAACGTCATCTTGGGTTCCTATCTAGGTCTTGGATCTTCCACAAAGATGTTGCCACTCGGCTGGTTGGCAGTGTGTTACCTCCTTAAGAGACAGTGTTTTCTGAATTTTTTTTCAAATGGCACTTTAATTTTCCAAGTTAGATACTCTAGTAATGTGCATGGACTCTGAAAGGCTGCCCTGTCCCATAGATTGGTCTACTGACTTAGTATTAGAAGAGATGTTGTCTTAGCAACAACAAAAAAAGTAAGAACAAATGCATGACTTAAAGGCATTCCTAAAGCATAGAAGATTCTGTTCTAACTACTGTAACTTCTGATACAAGAACTTTCCTTAGTATTATGATAATTTAAAATACATTTTTTAGTTCCCTCTGGTTCTTTCATCTTACTTCTGTTCTCTTGTTCCAGTTGGTAGTGTAGCTAACATGTTACAGTCTATCCCAAACAGTCCGAAGTCATGGAACTGGTGTTCAGTCTTTAGTGTTCTAAATTTTACGGCTTCTGTTGAGTCTTACTATTTATGGAGAGTTTTTCATTTTAATGCAAATGACATTACCTCTTCAACAGTGTGCTTTTTCCCCTCTGGATCCAATTTGTTACCAATTTTATGCATCATAACACAGGGGAAGAGGAAAAACTGGTGTTCTGTAGTGTTTTTGTATGCACAGGCAAACCTTTTAAGGCCCCATTTGTCATTTTAAGTATGTTAGTCTTGGACATAAAAGGTTAATCATAAAATCATAGAATGGTTAAAGTTGGAAGGGACCTTAAAGATCATCCAGTTTCAACTTCCAGAATTATAAAGTGTTATGACACTGGCCTATCGAGAAGAAAGTTACATCTTACTGTCTAAGATTTTTAGCATACTATGTGCTTAAATGCAGATAGTTTTTAATATAAACCCTTATTTCATGTGTAACAGCTTTGTGCTCTTCTCCCCCCTCCACACTTATGCTTTTAAAAAATTAGAAACTGTTTTTATTTTGGTTATGTCTTCAACTTTGTCCTGGGTTACTGCCGGGATTTGGTAGGGATCTTAACAAATGATCTTCCTTGCCTACACAGGTTAAGCAGGACTTCACTTGTGAAAGTTTTCTTAACTGTGTCTTGCTCTTCTTGTTGCTCATGGAAATTAGGTTGAGTTGTTCCCTGCTTTCCTCCCCAACCATACCTTGAACTGGTTAGCACCTTGGGTGTTGATTTAATCATCTTGGAGCCATGGGGAGTTTCATGTGGTCTGAGCCGAACGAATGCCAAACTGACCATCTCTCAGTGTAACAGGTGTCACAGTTTCTTCAGACTGTCTAAACCAGGGTTTCGAGTAGGTTAGGCTCTGTTTGCCTGCTTTACTACCAGCTTCTGTGGCTAAAAGGTTGTGTGGAGTGGTTGTAGGTCATCCATTCAGAAACACTGTTAAAGCCATTATGTTCTTCTTGAAATTAAGGCTAAGGTTTGGAGATGAGAAGCAAGAGGACTTAATATGGCAGGAAGGAGACTCAAAGGATTTCCCCAGGCAGTCATCAACTCATCGAAGAGATAGATACTTGAGGCCCTGTCTCTTCTTGCTCTGCCTGTCATGTGGTTAACAGTTTGTCTGAGGGCATACCATGGGATTCCTCTTTGTCCTGCTGGTTATGCAGTCCTTTAAGAACAGAGAAGTTAATCTTTACCATATACCCCAAGTGTCCTTGAAAGCTTTTTGGATAACCAAGTACTCATGTTTCTGCATGCTTCTGGCTTTACATGATTGAAGTGGAAAAGCAGATTACTACAATTTTGGGTCTTAATACTAAAATAAGTCTTAAAATACATAGCAGCAAAATTGCTTTAGCACTAAATAGCTCACTGTGTAGCTAATCCTTCAGGAAGGGGTGTGTATCCAGATGAGTCTTTTAGGGTTGCAGTAATACAAGATATTCCCCTAGACTAGGGAGGTTAATTTTTTTTACTACCAGATAACTACAAAGGAGAGATAGAGGAAAAGACATACATACTAGTACCACCTGGAATTCTGTGCTCAGCCAGCATCTTGCAGGTTTTCTGGTAAGTAGGAAGCATACCCTTTTAAGTTCTTCAACTTGTAAAGTGATACTTATTTTACATCCTCTGTGGTGTTTCATCCAGAAGTACAAATAACTTGCACAGTACAAGACTGAAGATTACGAGCATATGTTGTCTTGAAGTGGGTAGAAAGGGATTAGAATATGATTAGGGATTTATTGTTGAGAGGGATTAAGCAACAGGTGTTTTTTAAGGTCACATCTTTGAATTGCAGCCTTGCTGTTCCAGAGAATTTGATATCTGAACTTCCTCTCCTTTCCTACACTGGAAACACTGCTTGGGAAACCCTTAGTTCTTAAGGCACTGGAAGAAAACCTTAAACATAATTTCATGTTCCATAATGGATCACAAATGCTGCAGTTAGGTTTTCCAAGAACTCCCTTTCCCTTCTTGCTTGTTCTTTGATATTGCATTTAGAGATTTATTTTTTTTAATTTCTAATTTAAGGGACACTGCTCTAAAATATAGCTTGAAAGAGAAAGGGCACTAAGTCATCTTTTCTGGTTCAATTCTGGGGTTCCATGACTTGGAAACTGCCTTCAGTCATCTTTCTGTAAGAGGGTCCTCTGTCATCTGAGAGAGAACATGAGGAAGAAACAACTCTATAAAGGCTAGAAGATACTTGATGCCTTCATAAAATCATTTAGTTTGGAAAAGATGTCTAAGATCATTAAGTTCAACCATTAACCTAACATTGCCAGGTCTACCACTAAACTGAAGAAGGTTGATTAGACATTTAGCGTCTTGCTGAAAAAGGAGTGCGAAATTTTCTAATGTGTTTGACTAAAACTAGCATAGGCAACTTGTTTTATTCACAGTTCTGTATTAAATGTAACATTGTTTCACCTGACATTTATCCTAGAGTTTAAATATGCATAATTAAGTGGTTGGGAACTGCTGAAGGTCAAAGCTTTGTAGTGTGAGTGATTCTATTCCTCTCCTGCCTCTTACCTCTCATTTCTTCAGATGTAGCAGCCTCTCCTGGGCTCCTAGCTCTGGCTTTCTGTAACGTAACATTTACAAAATGTTGGGAAATTGAAATGAAATGTCATCTGCCTGTAGCTTACCTGTTGTCTGGCCTTGTGTTTACATGTCCACTTTTTCTTCTTTCCTTTAAAATACTAAGCTACAAATCCAGTTGTTAGTAGAACTATACTACACAATCATCCAAGTTTGTTTTTTTTTTTAGTTTGTTTTGCAGGTTTTGTTTGTTTTTTGAGAAGTAGTATAATATTTCAAGCAATATAGCCTACTGTAGTGAGAACAGTTGGAGATAATCCTTTCCCGATTTGCCATTTTGCTGGTCCTTATGCTATTCCCTGCAAGCTTAGTTGCTGCTTTTGCCTCCTGATTAACTGCTAATAGATTTTTTTCTAGTCATTAAACACTCTTGCCTTCTGCATTCAGTAGTAGCCTCTGCCTTGCAGTCTACTGTTGTTGCAGTAAATCTGGTTATGCTGTTTCTTCACTGACAGCAAGAGCTTAGTGAACTCTTGCCCTTTAGTATCATTTAGTACTTGTTACTGCTGGTTTTATGTGCTGAGTAGATTTTTATGAGGGAAAGAATGAATGGTTATCAGGTTAATGCTGATTGCTTTGTAAGAATAATCTGCAGCCTTTTGCCTTTAAAACCTCAGATTAATTCCATCTCTAATATAAATGGAAGTTAAATTATAAGTCTTAAATTTAATTTAGTCATTAGGGCCTTTCGTAATCCAAAGGATGGCCTGGAGGCAGCTATACTATGCACTCAGAGTAGCTCTTAGTCCAAGAGGGTTTAGGCCTGGAAAGGGTCAAGTCTAAAATGCCCTCTTGTTTAACCAGAAGATCAGTCCAATCCTGTATTGAGTAGAAAAACCTGCAGAGCAATCTGGATAAGATGGCAAAATGAGTGCCCCAATTAAGTTTGCTGGTGTGATAACATAATTCTAATTGAGACTTAGGTGTGTATATTATAGATGTGAGGGTAGTGCACCTAAGCATGGAGACTATTGTACACAAAATACTCTGTTAACACCTAGAAATAACTTTCAATATATCTTAACAATGCTTTTTGTTTTTCTCCTTAGATCAATGTTCGAGTTGTTACTATGGATGCAGAGCTGGAGTTTGCCATTCAGCCAAACACTACAGGCAAACAGCTATTTGACCAGGTCAGTGAAGTTTTGGTATGGGCTCTTACTGTTTGAGTTTGGAGTACGTTTCAGACTATAGTGTTTACTTAAGACTGAATTCCAAATCTATCTTCACTCTACCTCCCAATCAAAGGCCCTCAGTCTGAACTGAGATCTCTAAACTCCCTCACAGTAAAATAAAAAAGCAAAAACCCTCGGATGTATGTTATACTGCAGTGAAAACTGTCTTCCATGTTGGGTGATGAAATGTCACAATTTTAGGGATCTAAAATGTTTGGACAATATAGGTAGCATGTAAAAATGCACTTCTTGCTTTGAAATACAGCTTAGTTCTTACATTGTTCTTCAATTCTAAGGTCGAAATGTTGCCTTTGTGCATAAAAGTCTTTAGAATCAGATCTTCAGATGGCTGAAGAAGGTGTTGGCACGGCTACATTCATTCAGAAGCTGGGTTGGAAGTAGCCACTTGCCACAGGTGTTTGAGTTTGTCACGCTGCTGAAAAAAACAGAAGAATTTGTGACCTCCATGCAGCATTTGTAGGCAACATGCCTTATAAGAAGCCCCTGTGCAGCAGGACAGAGCACAGATTTGCACAGTCTGCCTTCAGGAATTACCAGGGAAGTGGAGGGCATGAGTGGCCAAGAGTCTCCTCTCCTTGCTGTTATTCTTCCTGCTACTCCATTAACAAGTTTAAAGATGGACCTACAAAGATCAGATAAAGGCAACAATGTGCACTTTGTAAAACTTTATTATTGTCTTAAGTAGCTTGTTGTTCTAAAACTGAAGCAAGGCCTAGATTCAGCAGAAAAATTTTACATAGTGCTCTGAATTAAAAAAAAAAAAAAGAAAATACTTGCTTCTAGCCATTTCTGCTGTAGACCTGAAAACTAAGAACTGATTTATGCAAACTTCAGTTACATATTTTAAACTGTTTACAAGCTGTTACAGCAGCTCCTTTGTACTTCTCCCCCTGTATCCGCTAGCCTTGATAGCAAAGGGTGGTTGAGCTTTAACTCAGGTAGGCAGTACTGGCTAAACAATGTCCATTGGTTGGTCCTAAGGTTTTGTTGGTACAATTTCTTGTTTCAGTGAGTTAACTAGAACTTGCTAGGCCTTAAGGCAATTGTGCATTAAGAAGTACTTAAAAAGAAAACCCCCAAAAAAAGCCACAAAGCAAACAAACAGCCCACAAACCCAACTAAGAAAAAAAAGCCCCCCAAAAAACACCAACAAAATTCAAAACTCGTAACAAACAAACAAAAAAAATGCTTCTAGTGGGTTCTTGAAAGGAGGAAATCGCTGCAGATCTTCAGAGTACAAAACAGAGTTTAGCATTAAATCTAACTTTAAAGCCTCTTGATTACTACTGATGTGAGCTAAACATCAACTATTCATTGACTGGAAATCTGCTGAAGCACATATGAAACCGGCATTTTTATGGAACCAGTGTTTGGCATTTGACCTACCAGAGAAAGGGCCAAGATGATTAAAGAGAGGATTTGGGATTGTTCAGTCTGGAGAAGAGAAGGCTTCAGTGTGACTTAATTGGCCTTCCAGTACCTGGAGGGAGCCTACAAGAGAGTTGGAGAGAGACTTTGCAAGGGCATTTAGTGACAGCACAAGGGGGAATGATTTAAACTGAAAGAGAGTAGGTTTAGATTAGATATTAGGAAGAAATTTTTTACTGTGAAGGTGGTGAGGCGCTGGCATTGGTTACCCAGAGAAGTTATAGATGCCCCATCCCTGCAAGTGTTCAAGGCCAGGTTGGATGGGGCTCTGATCAACCTGGTCTAGTGGAAGGTGTCCCTTTCCACGGCAAGAGGGTGGAACTAGGTGATTTTTAAGGTCCCTTCCCACTCAGTCCATTTTATGATTCCATTCACTGCTGATCACTCTTACATCATGGTAACTTCTTCCCCCAGTCCCTTTCATGTTAATCCAAAACAGAGAGCTCAGACCTCATCTCTGAGGGTACAAAAATCCAGGTGACTAAATGACAGGTTTTTAAAAGCAATACCTTAGATTAGATTGTAAGTATGTTCTATGTTCCTTGTGTTCAAGAAGGCAAGTGTTCAAGAAGGACTTTCCCCCCCATATACATTAATTAATGTTTATATCTGTTAAGAGTCAGGGTCATATCTCTGGCAGAAGAGAAAATACTTTCTAGACCTTCAGCTGAGAAGTTAAAATTCCTGGGAACATGGAAAAAGGTGGGATGTTTCAAATTCAAGATACTTCTATTTTAGCTTGCTGTCTAGGTACTTCAGGATTTCTGAAGATTGCTTGTTGCAGCACTGTTGAGATAGACTATCACCTCATGGAGATTTCATCCTTACATCCAATGGCTTGTTTTTAAAGCCTGTGACTGAAAATTCTTATCCATATTTCACATCTTGTTGCAGTGCACTTCTGCATTTCGAGAGAGATTAAGGTAAAAGTGTGCAGCACAAAACCAGTAAAGGTGAATACCATATCTTTAGCTGCAACTCTTCTGGCATCCTCTCTTCACTTCTGCTGTACAAGCCTTTTATTAGGCCCTTATCTCTGGTGGAGTTTACACTCAGATTAAACCTGTGGAGGCAACAGGTTTTCACAGGTATGGGGAGTGGCCCAACTTGAACTGCAGAACTACTGTGGGGGTGTTGAAGCAGGCTATTTTTAAAAACTACAAGATGATTTCTTAGCCTAGCTGTCAGCTAGCAAAACTACTCTGGCAGTGTCCTTGTTTTTCAGGCTTTACTAGCATAACTGTATCCTGCACGTAAGAGGGACTATAGCTCCTTTTCATAGGAGCGGGAAAATAGTGGAAACCTGTGAATATTGAGTTCAGCTCCACTCAAGCCAGACCTGTGCAGAGTTTATCCTACAATGAGGACTGAGGTGTCCCAAGAAACAACACAGTGGACTCTGCAGCTGGCTGGAGTACCTCCCCCGTAGTCATGTGCTTTCTTGACCATGAGTAAAAGAAATTCAAATGGAGGAGAGTGTGCCACTGGCATTTTCTGGAAGTCAGTGCATTACTGGGTGCATTACTTAAGATTTGCTGCTTCATGTGTTTGAGGAAGTGGGGGTGGTGTCTCCCATCTTGAATATAATGCCTTGGTTCTTATTTCTTCCTTGTTTTGCTATGGATGAAGCTTACAGAGCATTTTCCAGAATACAGTATGAAAAATTCTTTGTTCTTTGTATTGGAACTCAAACTGTGAAGATTAGCTTAATACTTTCTCCATTCTTGCCTTTAGGTTTCAGGAAGAACTTGAGTGGTCATAACTTCTGCAAGCTTTCTAGCTCAATTTATAGAAAAAGTGTAGTTTTTCTCTTGTAACAGACATTCAGAGACAATGACCTGAAAAATGCTTCATTTACGCAACTCTTCATTTTAACAAAGTTGCAACACTCTTTTGTGCAACAGGAAGTACTATGCTTAACATACCCTTGCTTCTCTGCTAGACTTCATAAAAATACATCTAGCTGTCAGAAAACTTGTCTCTTCTGTGAGGAAATAAGCCACTTGGAGGGAGGAGGGAAAATGAATTTTAGTCAAGTAAAAGCTGAAGTATTTTCAGACCCCAGCTCTTTTTAAAAAGTTGTGGAAATTGGGGGTTTTTGTTTGTTTGGATTGGTGGGGTTTGTTGTCTTTCTGCTTGTTTTTTTTAACATAAACTAGTTAGTCTTAACTACCACAACACCGTTTCTTTCAAGTCTGCTCTCAAACCATAGTGTCTCCAGCAACACTCTAAATGTGGAGGGTGAAACAGATCCTTGGTTGAGATCTTAGACTTGTTGAAGCACATGTAACTACACACTCTCAAGTCTGTCACACTTTCCTAATTAGCAAAGTGGTTTTAAAAAGTTCTTGCCTTGCAGTTGGTTCAACTCCCTATGATTTCTACATCACTCTTTGTGGGGGTACTCTGCAAATAACATTAAGGCATGATCCCGATATATCTTTCCAGATTTCAGCTCTGACTAGAGCACAGCTTTACAGGTAGATGAGCTGGCAGGCAGCCACCTGTCTATAAGAACAAGCTGTCAAGAGTAGGAGGAGGTCAGGGGCTTGTTAGGCTATAACCTCCACTGAGGAAAAGTAACATGTCCAAACAGCCCTGTTTTCACTAGTAAGCGTGCCATCCAGTCAATGGATGGTGTTTCTGGATGTTTCAGGATGTGCTGTTTGTCTCACCTGGTTTCCCCAGAATCATCCTCTTCCAGAAACCGGGTGGGATAAGTAGCTTACCTATGCCATTGCTGTCATCTACTGTGGCAGCTGTATATCTTTGTCTACAAGGTGAAATTAAGAGATACCAGATGAGTAGGTTTAGGCTGTTGCCTGCACTCATCACAGGTGATGTGGGACTTGAAAGGATACTGGACCTCAAGTGAAGTGTTAACTACAAGAACTTTTTTTTTTTTTACCTTTCTGTTGCAGGTGGTTAAAACCATAGGTTTGCGAGAGGTGTGGTACTTTGGTCTTCAGTATGTGGACAACAAAGGATTCCAGACTTGGCTGAAGCTTGATAAAAAGGTAACAGACTGGGGGTTAATTGCTGAGCAAAGGTTAAAGCCTATGTGATTCCTGATGTGTTACTGGCTGCAACTTTATAAACCTTGTACCTGTTGTTGATTCTTCCTTAATTTTCATAACTGTAGGATTATTTTTTAGACATAACTTTGTGATATCCATGGGAATTGTTTGGCATGGTGGAAATTTGCCCTTTCACTCTGCGTGAGTTGTAGAAAGCATTTTTCAGATATGCAGCAGCAGCTCAATACTGTATTTTGTTGAGTAGAAGCAGCTATGCTTTTTGTGACTGAAGAAACATCTTGGCTAATGACGGCTTTAGGCCCTGCTTGTACAGTATCAGTTGTTGCACTAATTGGAAAGACAAGTCACTTCAAGGTTGGGCAGTTGTAACAGAGTGCTGACGCCTCTGATGTGCTTCTGTTTGTGGACTTGCAGCTCTTATGAGAGTATAAACTGTTTTTCTTGGTGGAGCAGTCAGTGACACGTGTTTTAATGTCAGGGGGCTGTTCTTTGTCAAACACATACAGTATTGGATGGGTTTGCCATCTGATAGAGCACAGTAAATCATTCTCCAGTGACCAAGGCTTGTTGTGCAAACAGAATTTTTCTGACATAGTTGAAAAACATAATACATCCCCCCCATGTTCTCATACCAATGAGCAGCCAGAATTAAGAAATTCCAGTAATGAGCTGCCAGTCAAGCTCCTCTTAAGGCAAATACATTTTTCTGTGTAAAAGCAATCTATTCTGTTGTTTACAACTCTGCTCAGTTGTGGTGTCACCTCTGTCCTCAGGTTTCTGCTCAGGAAATTAGAAAGGAGAATCCTCTCCAATTCAAATTCCGTGCCAAGTTCTTCCCAGAGGATGTGTCTGAAGAGCTGATCCAAGACATCACGCAGAAGCTTTTCTTCCTGCAGGTGAAGGAAGGGATTCTCAGTGATGAGATCTACTGTCCTCCTGAAACAGCAGTACTTCTTGGTTCCTATGCTGTGCAGGCCAAATTTGGAGATTATAACAAAGAGGTGCACAAGCCTGGATACCTCAATTCAGAGCGTCTGATCCCCCAAAGGTGAAGAAGTTGGTTGATGCAGTCTCCCTTTTTTTTCTTTTTCTCATGGGGCTTTTCTTGTTGGGTTTTGATTTTGGTTGGTTGGTTGGTTTGTTTTTTAATTTAAATTCTACTTAAATACAAGGAGTTTCATTGAAAGCATGTTTGGTGGGTTTTTTAATTGAATTGTATACGTTTGAGTTTTCCCTTATTTTATTTCTATCTCTGTCATCTCTGTCATATCAGAGTATGTTTTTGCCTCTCCTTGGGTTGGTTAGAGAGAGGAAGTATACTTTGGTATTCAGCTTTTATTTCCTAAGCATTGCTACCATGCTGGTAACTGGCCATATGAATGTCTCCTCTTTAAGAAAAAAAGCACAGGATTAGATTAGGAATGTGTTATTCCTGAAGTTGGGTTGCATGCCCTTAATCCCAATTTACAGTCCTAAAATCTCATATGCAGAAAGCATGTCTTGAGGCTATGCAGTCCGTACCCACACAAGATCAGTGGATGTTATCAGACCAATGGCTTCTGTTTATGCTTCCTGACAATGCTGCAGGAATGTCTAATTCCAGGAATGGCTCCAGGAATGGCACTAACTTTCTCTTTGCTTTAGTCCACCAGTGTCTACAGCGTGTATGGGATTTGTTTGCAGTGTTTTGCTTATGCCTCTCACGTCTCTGGTCAGTGAATAGAAAGGCTTTGCAGAGGGTTTTGTTTCATTCTAAATTGCTCTGCTTCACCAAGTACATCTTTGGGCTGAGTTAGGGTCTTCTTTTTGGCTACAATAGGACTCCCACCAGGGTGAGAGTAAGGCTGTGGCAAAGATCAGCATCAATAGATATTGCAGAACATCTAACCTTGCTAATACCTGTTTCCTTGTATAGGGTCATGGATCAGCATAAACTCTCCAGAGAGCAGTGGGAAGAACGGATTCAGGTGTGGCATGCTGAACACAGTGGCATGCTCAAGTGAGTGTTTTGTTTTGGTCCTAGGGCTGGTCACTATGTTGCTTGTTGATTACCTTAAGCTTGCAGTTCTACGCCATGGTTTTGAAATAGACTCTATGAGTTACCTGTGTGGGCCAACTTCTGGTATGTATTTTCTAGTTCATTGTTGAATTATATGGTAAAATGCAGTAGGACATTTTGTACTGGTGAGAACAGTGTGACTTCCAGGACCTGTGTATATTGTATCAGTGATGACTTTGAGCAGGGAAAAAAGTAAAGGTGTATGTCAAACCTTAGTCATTGAAGCATTTGCACTGACAGATGGGGAAAGTTCAGATAGTATACCTTTCCTACTGATTGTACCATGAGACAAGAATGAATGCTGAGAGAGATGAACATTGATAATTTTCTGTCTGGAAATACTGGGGTTTGGTGAAGGGGAGTGTTCTGTGTATGTGTGTTCATAGATGTAATATCCTAACTTCTAAAGTGAATCCCAAACGATGAACATTCAGTTTTAACTCCTGTGTTTGATGTGGGGGTTTAGGAAAAGTTACCTTTTTCTTCTGAGGGCTTTTTGCTTTGACATAGTCAGATAAATAAGAAACCAACATTTGCTCTCCTTGCTGTCTGAACCAGAGAGAATGCCATGCTGGAATACCTGAAGATTGCCCAAGACCTGGAGATGTATGGAATCAACTACTTTGAAATCAAGAATAAAAAAGGAACTGACCTTTGGCTGGGGGTTGATGCCTTGGGTCTCAACATCTATGAAAAGGATGATAAGTAAGGCTTTTGTTTTTACCTCTGATCTCCCAGAGAGGGTTGGTATGGGAGCCAAGAAACGTTTTTGATTTACAGGATAAGGGCAAAGTTAAGAACTTGCTTGTGTTCCAGTTTTGGATCAGTAGGTGAAGCTAGGAAATGGGCTTTCACATCATCTGTGCTTTCATGGCTTTCCTGACCTCTGTGGCCTGACCCGCTAATGCTACCTGCCGTATAAAGAGAAATGTCAGTGGTACAAGGCCATCTGCTTAATTGTGCACAGCTGTGGCACTGAATCCTAAACTGAGGAGATTACCAGCCTTCTCCTTGAGTCAGGTCACCAGGTTTGCCATTAGTGGATACAATATGGGAACCTAGATAGGCCAGCATATCCTGAAGTTAATGATAGATGTGTGTACAACTGCCTGGTTTTGGAAAAGACAGATTATGGGGTGGGCACGAAAGCAAAGCTGGATAACACCCAGAACCCAGGGAGGAGCTAACCTATATAGTTACTGTGAACAAGGAATGAAATGAGGTCTTGCTGCAGTATGCATAGTTTTAATCAGCCCTTCTGGTAAAGGCAGAGCCATTATTAATTGGATAGTAGGTGGGAAATGATAGACTACATCTATAAATAAACATAAGAGGAAGGTGAGAACAGCTGTGTCTAAGCCTGCTAGTCTCTTCTAATACTCCACAACTGAAGGATTGAAGGGGAGCTAAAATACTTATTTTTCAGATGTAGCATTGCTGTCTAGACTGTTTTTTCAACCCCCCCATCTCTTATGTTCCGAATCTTTGTTTCATGTCACTAATCTGTAACAGACTATCATTGTAATAGAGAAGGGATTTCACCTGTTCTACATCTTTGCCTCCAAAAATCTTTGAATGCAACCCAGATATTAATTGGAACTCGCTGGAGCTTCTGTTAACATGGCAAAGAGAGAGGCAGTCTTTTCTGCAATGTTAATATGTGCTGTCACCCAGAAAACAAGGAGTGTCACTTGAAAGAAAAGTAGTTTCGCTCATGTAATACTTCAGTCTTGAATGACTAGTCTTGCTATGTAACCATGGTCACACAAACAGGTTTTTCAAGCTGGAGGAGCAGACAGAGTGTAGCCATTGACTGTAAAGAGCTATCAAGAGCATTTGCAAAACAAATACAGTGCTGGAATAAACTGCTTATTTCTGCCTGTAACTCTTGCCACTATGTAATTAAGTCTTTCAGCAGATATGGGGACTAGAAAAATAGTAATGTGTAGGGTGCCTCTGGCTTGTATATGCAAAATTTGGGGACTGGGGACAAAGGTGAAAAAGAAGAGATTTCATTGTTGAAGTTCAATCTGAGGAAAATGAGACTGTGCTGTAGGTGTGTGAGCCTCTATACTGCAGTGCATGTCAGTGTGCCACTTCTAGGTGTATTCAAACTTTTATTTTTTTTCCCTCTCATTAAAGAAGAGAATTGGCAATAGAACTTACTAATAAGTGAATTGTTTTAGTTGTCCATCTTACTGATTATATAGGATCGAAACACTAAAGCTAATGTGATGGAGGCTGGAGTAATTAGTTAATCTTAGTCTAATCAAATCATTTTCTTTACAGTCTTTACTTAATGTTACACACTCACACTGTTGCATAATTTTGCGGTTGAGTTAAAGGTTATGGAGTGAAAAGTTCTGAAGAGGATGGATTTTATTCTTGATGTTTGAATTTAAATGAAGTAGGGAGTTTTTTATGATTGGACCCAGCAAAATCTTGCTATGTAATGGCTTTCCGTCTCTCTGACAAAGAATGAAATTCCTCCAAAATTGCCAGCTTTTTTTCCTTAACCAATGAGTTCCATAAGAAGGATTCTTACAGAATTTGAATGGTTCACTGTGATGAGACATTTCTCTAAGTGCTAAACATTAAATACATGTCTTCAAACCATTTGCAAGAAGTAATTGTGACAGAGACACATACATTGGAGGGGTTAGATAATAACAAGAAGATTGCTTGTTGGTATTATCTTTTATGTAAAACTCAATTCTTAATCATTAACAACTGTCTCTAGAGAATATACCCTCCCTTGATAAGAGGCAAATGAAAGAATAATGATGTGATATTAAACATAAAAATGGGAATATTTGGTTGGGGAAATTAGAGGACTTTATTACAGTCAAATATAGAAGTCCTTGTAATATTAGAACTTGCTGCAGAGCTGGTCAGATGGGTAAGGGTGAAGTACTGTAATGGCTCAGAAACATTTGGTCTTATGAAAAACTAGATGCTTTTTATATGCAAAAATCTGGAGAAATTAAGGTAGAGGAAAAACCTCAAATGATTAGTGAAGCTTTTAGAAATAATTTTAAATGAATAACAGACCTGACCTCCTCAGCAATGAGGAAGAGTTGGGAATCTGAATCTTTTGCTTCCTTGGGGTGCTTTTCAATAGGGGAGAGTCACATGATGCAGTTTGTTGAATGACCAGCCAGTAAAGTTCTGCTTGGTGACTCATGGGATGGGCTGAAAGAGCAGTTTGTACAGAAGGAAAGAACAGGGCTCTTTGTTACTAAGCTTGCCTGTAAATCTAGGGAAGAAGATATCTAAAGGGAGGGTGTCAAGAGGATGGACCCAGGCTTTTCTCAGTAGTGCCAAGCAATAGAACAAGAGGCAATGGGCAGAAACTGATGCACAGGAAGTTCCATATGAATATAAGGAAGAACTTCTTTACTGTGTGGGTGACCAAGCACTGGAACAGATTGCCCAGAGAGGTTGTGGAGTGTCCCTCGCTGGAGATATTCAAGAATCATCTGGACACAATCCTGTGCTATGTGCTCTGGGATGACCTAGCTTGGGCAGGGAGGTTGGACCAGATGACCTGCTCTGGTCCCTTCCAGCCTGACCCATTTTATAATTCTGCAAAACAAAAGACATAATTGCTCCTACCAGTTGTGCCTGTTCAGCACTCCAGAAGTGAAGGCTGCATGGAGGTGACTGCTCTAGCTGTAACATAGCAGGGTAGGTTTCTCTGTGGGTGCTACAGGGTGTGGGGATCAGCTCAGTTACTTTGTCTTATACCTGTAATGATATATGAGAAGCACGTGCTCTGGGAAGCACGGCACATAAAATCTGCATGATGTGAATTTTAGGCCTGGATTTCAAAGAAACGAACTTAAAACAGGTGTTTGATAAAGCTGAGCATGTGGTTTCAGTAGAGTCCATCATAGCCAAAGGTCAGTAGGGTGGCTGACCAAAATGGAAAGAGACTCAGTAAGTGAGGTGACTGGGCTTCTTCTCCTACTCCCTGTGGGGTTCTGGTTCACTTACTGTTTTCTGTCTGTTGGGAGAGCTGTGTGAAGCGTTGCATTACACTGCGTCTGTGTGTTAGAAGGAATGTGAGGAAAAAAAAGTTTATTGCGTCATCTCTTAAAAATATTTTTCTTCTTTCCAGACTAACTCCAAAGATTGGGTTCCCCTGGAGCGAAATCAGAAACATCTCCTTCAATGACAAGAAGTTTGTTATAAAGCCCATTGACAAGAAGGCACCAGTAAGTATGTCTTGAACAGATTCCTGGATACTGCATATGAACAAATGATACAGCTTCATCTCAAAATAAAGTAGTCGTTGGAGAGAAGAAAGCTGCAGATATTCTAGATGCAAAATGAGCCTTAGTATTTAGAATGTATGTAGAGCTGTCTGTTTTTCTGTACAGCATAAGTGAAGGGCTTATAGTGATATCCAACATGGAAAAAATAAGGACTTTACAACTGCAGTCCTTTTATTTTCTAGCAAACTAGGTAGTTTTATGTCTAAATTAGAGATTCTTTGCTAGTTCTGTGAGTCCTCTCCCCATTTCTTTCAGTGCATGGAAGCTGGTAGATAACTTTTATTTTTGGCTTTTAATCTGAAGAAAAAAACCAAAAATGTTCATTAAAATAATTACAGAAGTAATTAAAATGCTACTGCAAAACCACATATGTATCCAATACATATGGCTTCCCATCCATCACTGCTCACTTCCACACTACTGACAGAGTAAAAGCCAGTTAAGGCCCATGGTGTTGTTCACTGACTTTCTTAATAACTAATGTAAATGCCAGGGATATGATTTCTGTGGAGAACTGAAATGTAGCTACCTGTGAATGTTGCTTTTCAATACTTACAAGTATGTTTTCAGAGTTATTTTAGTGAGGAATTAGAAGCTTACTTTGACCTGTTGAGAACATAACGTGGAATAACTGGTATAGGTGGATGTCATTCTGTCAGTCTTGTGAAACTATTTGAATAGTTTAAATAGTTGAGAAAGATCTCCTCTTGTCTCCTCCCACCCCAGTACTTGACCTTGGTGGGTAAGTGCAGCCCTGAGAAATAATAAGCCGTTAGGCTTTGTCAAAGGACAATAGCTTATAAATATCTCTAATAGAAAAAGATCCTCCCAATAACTCAAAGGATACTAATGCACAGTGTGCTGCAGGGATTTCTTCCAGATAACAGCCTGAGGGAGTGGAGCTTCTTTCTGTGATGCTGTTAGTGAAAACCAATAAAACTCCACAGAGACAGAAAGCTGATCTGTCAGGCATACTTTCCTCAACAGAATAGCCTCTGTCCTGTGTTGTAGGACAGGAAGTTGTCTGGGTCTTTTCATGTGTTTGTGTCTCCTTTTAAATGACAGGTGTTATAACTACAGCAGAATACTCAGTCCACCCAAGATGTGGGCTGGAAGCTCCCCTTTAATTTGGAGGATTCTACATGTCTGTGTTTAAATGGACACTAGTGTAAAGGGTAGAGCCCTGTGGCACCTTGCCCTGCTTAACTAAGCTTTTAAATTTTTAGGCTTGCCTGCCCACATACTGCAACATCTTCAGCACATTATCTTTCAAATATCGAGGTGCAATACTCCCAGTTTTGTGAGACCTGGGGGAGGCTGGGGATAAGAAAAGAAGGGTGTTCTTTTGTGTTCTTATTTAAATGTTTTGTCCCTTGGTTATGGTCTAAATGACAAATGCAACCAGCATTCATTCCCTCAGTATTTAATTCCATGTAAGTGAGCCTTGCCTCAGGATAGGGCTTGTTCATCACAATGTACACAGACTGTTTTTAAAATTACTTGTTAGAAGGAGGAGGTCAGATGAATAACTAACAGGTACAGTTCAGTTAGCAGTATTAGACCTGTACGGCTCAGAATGGCTCTGACAGAATCTGGTGGGAGAGCACAACACACTTCCCAGACTGCCTCTCCTGCAGTCATTGTGTGCATTAGGGAAGTGCATTGGAGAAAATGAGTCTTTGTTGCCATATTCATGTTCATCTTAAATAGCACTTAGGGAGCTTTTAATTGCTTCTGGTGTGTCTTCTAGTTTTAACAAAGATAGCCACAATTGTGCTTCTGAGCTCAGGCAATTAAAAACATGATCTCTGCTTCCATGCAAAAGTGTAAAGCCCGTGTGGCCCTTCCCAGTTCCACCTCTTGCTAACAGTGAGGCAAACCATGGGACAGTGATTCTAAGGAATGGGTACTGGCTTATGGTGGTAATGTGGCAGCTTGCCCACTGCCCTTATCACCATCCACGCAGTACACAAAAAAGCACAAAAATGTTGAGTTTGTTCACTGTGTAAGTTCAGACTTCATTGTAAATGCATGAGGTTGTGGACTCAGTAAAATCATCAGGCAGGTAATGAACTTGGTCCTGTGTACCCCTTTCTTAGCAGATTTTCTTCTAGAAAATCCAGTCTGATTATAACATGGATAATAAGAAATTTGCAGCTGTTCCTCTTGCTGAACCAGAAATTTTAGAGTAACTTGTGCTTTGCTACTGCCTGCAACCTGATATTCCAAATAACCCATATATTTTTAGTTTTGTGTTTTATCTTTCATTCACAAAAATGTGCAAACTGAAAAACTACTCAATGCTAGAAGTCTGTGTGTTGCCCAGGTGTTTACTTGCCAACCCAGAATCTTCTCCAACATTTAACAATATTCATTTAAAGGAGACTTCATCGAGTTTGGAATTTTCTCTAGAAGATAATTTTTCCAGAAGAATAACTTGTCAATTCTATGTAGACTTTAAAAGGAGAATATAAATAACAATAATTTTTGCTAGAGATGATTTTGACAGTCCCTGCTGCTATATTTAAATAGCCTTGCATTTGTGTCTGAATTAGAGTGAAATCAGTGGCAAGGTTTTCTGTCTGCAGTTAGCTGGGAGAAGAGAAAGCATGCTTATAAAAAACCGACTGTGTGTTGTCTCTCTTCTAGGACTTTGTGTTTTATGCCCCTCGTCTGAGAATTAACAAGAGGATCTTGCAGCTCTGCATGGGCAACCATGAACTGTATATGCGGCGCAGGAAGCCTGACACCATTGAGGTGCAACAGATGAAAGCCCAGGCCCGGGAAGAGAAGCACCAGAAGCAGCTGGAAAGGTGAGCTTGAATACAGGCAGCAGGCATGGAGTGGTAGAAATAAATGACACTGAACTCCTGGGGTCAGCAAGCAGCTGTACCTGCAGGTCAGCGGTCAGTAACAGGGGTATTGCCTGGGCAAGGCTGAGAGCCGTTCCAGGTTCATGAGGCACACGCATGGTCCTAGGAGGGGACTCGGGGTGTCCTGCAGCAGGACTGTAAGCATTGCTCTTCTTGTGACCATGCAGGTCTGCTGTCCTGTGCAGTCTCAAGAGCTCCGAGGACATATGCAAGTAAAGGCACAATGGGCTCTGGTGGTGCCCTCCTAAAGGAGGGTTCTACTGACTCTCAAGTGTTAAAACCTGAATTATGTGCTGGACCGTGGGATGGTTGGGAGTAAAGGGGAAACCTTCTTGGGGAGCATATGCATACAGTGTAAAGAGAGAAGAGGGGACTGGGAGATTTCTTACATGCAAGGAAAAAGCAGTAGCAATTCTACCACTGGCTTCAGGTTGCTTATGGTTCAAGAAATCATGCTGCTTTTCTCCTGTGTTTGTGGATTGTTTGTCTTCATTCCCTCACTGCTGTTGACGTTTTTACACCTCCTTCACTTTCCTTACAGCAGAAGTAACAAAGTTAAATCTCCTCTGCTGTGCAGTCCAAGTCCTGCTTTTTCTCTCTGCATCTAGTAGCTATTTGGTGTTCTAAACTTCTGTGGTGGCCAACAAAAATACAATTTAAATGAAATGGGGCATCCAAAACTGAGCAAAAATTCTGAAGTGATAAAGGAACAGCCTATTTCTGTCTCCTGGCTCTTGTTTCATGTTAGCCACTTTCCATTGAGCTGGCTGAAGAGATGCCCAGCCAACTTTCTTGTCTGGTGGTAGCTTGAGTCTGAAAGTGAACTTCAAACCTGAAATATGTTTCTAACAGGAAACAACTAGAAGATGAAAAGAGGAGGAGGGAGACAATTGAGAGGGAGAAAGAGCAAATGCTGAGGGAGAAGGAGGAGCTCTTGGTGAGGCTACAGGAGTATGAAGTGAAGACTCAGAAAGCAGAGAAAGGTAAAGTACTTGTCATGGCTGACCAGACCGTATGTATTGTGCTCCATAGAGGGGTTACATGGATTGCTGCCTATGCCTTGGCTAAATCTGGTGACACTGAGATCTCTTAGCAAGGCTTACTAATATCTTCCCGTATGGGTAAATACACACGTGCACACAGTATGCATAATAATCCAAAGTATTAAAGTAGCATAAAATCTGCAGACTGTATTTGGGAAGCAAAGGGCAAGAACTCCGTTTTCCCCAGTTGCCAAGAGGATTTAAGTAGCAGAACCTCTTCCAGCAGTGAGCAAGAGTTCAGCCCTCAAGTACTTTTTACTTAATGCCCAGCAGAAAAAAGTGCTTTGGGAACAAGTCTTTCCAATGAAATGGAAACATTCTGTTTCAATGCATAGATGATTAGACTGGAGACAGCAACATCTGGTCTATTAAGGGCAGCAGAGTTTTGTCAGTGTTACAGACTTTTTAGTGCAAACATCTTGCAGAAAATCTAATTATAATGTGCATCTGACTCATCTGAATCCAGTTACTTGGTGTACTATGCAAATAATTACTTTGAGGAGCATGACGAAGGGAGTATTGCATGCTGGAGTAAAGTGCTATTGTGACTTACTGCAGTTACCTGAGAGGCTGTTTGTAGTTCCTTAGCTTTGGCCAGGCTTGTGGACTAACCGTGCTGATCTTTTTCCAGAGCTCTCAGATCAGATCCAAAGAGCCATTCAGCTGGAGGAGGAAAGGAGACGAGCCCAGGAGGAAGCAGAACGTTTGGAAGCTGACCGTTTAGCTGCTCTGCAGGCCAAGGAAGAGCTGGAAAGACAAACTATGGACCAGATAAAGAGCCAGGAACAACTGGTAAGACCTAGTCATTTTGAGGATCAGATATGCTACTATGTCCTTGAGTAAGGCAAAGTCATCTTGTCCAGGGAAAAACCTAGTGCAGTAAAGTACTAGACCATGTCATAGGATCATTATGGCACTGGTTTCTGTCGTAAGGAATCTACTTATTTGTTCCTTATTTCTTTATTACAGTTAACAGTGTTTCTTTGTTGTGCTTGGTGGTTGGGTTGAGTTTTTTTTAAGAGTCCTTATAATTCCAGTTTTATTATTCAACAGGCTACAGAGCTTGCAGAGTATACAGCCAAGATTGCACTTCTTGAAGAGGCAAGGAGGCGTAAAGAGAGCGAGGTTGAAGAGTGGCAAATCAGAGTGAGTATCTGCCTTACAAAGTTGCTCTAAAGTTCTGCGCTTGAGCAGAGCACACTGTGGTGCTTAGCTTGGAGACAAACTTCTGTACAGCAGTGAAGAAGGGCAAACTTGTGGTGAATGTGCAATATGCCTACAAAACACCTTTCTTCCAACAAACCATCAAAATTCAAAATGGAAGCCTGTATAAAACCTAAAAATATGATTATCATCTTGGAGCCATGGACGGGGAGGGGCACATGGATAAATGATACCTGATGCATGATATAATGTCTGAAAACATCAGTCAAGAGAAGATTCTGCAAATGCAGCCACACTGCAGGTATCCATTTTGAGGAGTGTGTGCTGTTGTTGGTGGCTTCCTAGTCGGCATAGTTTAGCAACATATGATGCACTAAAACCAAAGACAAACCACACAAGGTTCAGAGTGCCGATGCTCCCAGTGCCCTGTAACTAGGGCTATGGGCTGCATGGGAGGGCAAAACCACTGAAGCAGTAAGGAAGGTGCCTGCCTAGTGCATAACTACATTCAAAATTCCAACTTGGGAATCTGAGTTCTTGCTCTGTAGAACTCTTGTCTCTTCAGCCTACAGCTCTTCAAATGGAGAACAGGATGAAAATAACTGTAGCTTCCCACAGAACAGTTTTTCCTAGGCTGTTTTAGTGGAAGAAGATTCTTTGCTTAGATCTCCTGCACATTACACAATGAATGATGATAACATACCTAGCAAAAAAAAAAAAAGTTCTGTATGACTCATAGAGTACTGTCAGCTGCAGAGATTTAATTCTCTCTTCCTTGCTTTTCATAGTGGATTGAAAAAACTGGGAAGATAAGCATTTGAGTGTTCATTAAGCTGGTTTAAAGCAAGAAATGCATTTAAAATACTTTTTACTCTTTTCCCGAAGGCCAGGGAAGCCCAGGAGGATCTGGTAAAGACAAAGGAGGAGTTACACCTGGTAATGACTACTCCACCTCCACCTCCACCACCTGTCTATGAGCCAGTGAACTACCATGTCCACGATAACTTGCAAGATGAAGGCTCTGAGTACTCTGCCTACAGTGCAGAGTTCTCCAGTGAGGGGATCAGGAATGACCGCAATGAGGAGAAGCGCATTACTGAAGCAGAGAAGAATGCACGTGTACAGAGTCAACTGAGGGTAAGATGATGTTTGGGGGAGGCAGAGTAATTGAAACAATCTTTCCTGGAAAACATCGTTTAACCACTTGGTTAAACACACTGAGTATGATAGTTTCTCTTTGTTTACAGTTTCTGTAGGCAGTTTGAAATAAAGACAAGGTATATAAAGATTACTGTCATTGCTGAAGCTTTGAGGTTGCTTAAATCATCCATGGTGTTTATGGAAAGCATATGTTGTATCCATGTCACTGATCTGTCCAGTCATCTGTCAGCTGTCAGCTCTCACCAAAGAACTGTCATGAGCCGGAAGCGTCTTACAAATAACCTGTATTTAATGCTCTTCATATTGCAGGCACTGACAGATGAGCTGGCCCAGGCTAGAGATGAAAATAAGAGGACCCAAAACGACATTATCCACTCAGAGAACATGCGACAGGGACGTGACAAGTACAAGACACTGCGGCAGATCCGGCAAGGCAACACCAAGCAGAGAATCGATGAGTTTGAGGCGATGTAACAATGCTTGTAAGAAGACAGGACTGTGGGAAAGGCAGATCTTAATGCTGTGTTCTTATTTTGGGTTTTTTTGTTGTGTTGGTTTTTTGGTTTGTTGTTGTTTTTTTTTTTCCTGAGGAGACATCACTGTATGACACTTAACAAATGTTCTCTAAACCCAGAGGTGTTTAAATCTCCCATTTATCCTGTACCTTCTCTGAAATTTGATATAGTTAAAAACTTATTGTACCACTGATCCTGGTAACTTGCTCATGCCTTTGCTTAGTGCCAAAAGGCCTTATGTCACATCTCTCTTTAAGCAAGACAAATTTTAACAGGCTGTGCTTCTAGTTGAAGATACATGTCCTGTGCAGGTGCTGGATTCAGCCTGGTCTAAAAAATAAGCATCTGTGGGTGAATTTTGTGCCATACGTCTTTGTATTATTAGTTACAGTGTGAAGTCCAGCAGTTGAGAAGACAGATTCTGGAACTCAGGATTTGCAAGCACCTGAGTGTGTACAACCTTGCACATGTGCTTGTATGCCCTGTTTTTTCCTTGGTCTTGATGCCCATGTTCCCCCTCCCCAGCCCCCCCCCCCACACAAAAGAACTGACAACACCTCAGAACTACTTTGTGTAGAAATTAGGCGTTTTCTGGTTACTGTTCTCAACTGGAGAATTTCTGCAGTGATGGCTCAGAAGTGTGGCAAAGGGACACTCATATCCTCTTCACGTAACAAGTAGCAAATACTCTGTTGGAATCCAAATACGCTACTGTGTTGGCATTCCAACTTCATTACTGATCAGTTATAGTGTAGTATTTATATATATATATATATAAACATGCAACATGTGGATTGCAGTACTAGTTTAAAGGGAAATAGTTTTACTCTGTATATTTTGTTACTTTTCAGATTTAATAAGACTTTCGTCTGTAAAAATGCCTAAACAGCACTGTAGTCTGATACAGTGCAGCTGATTATTTACTATAAAGCATTATTTGTAAAGATCATTTTTTTACTTAATGAAAACTGTTATATGTACACATGATCCAGTATATACAATTTTACTGCACCTATTTTTCTAACAAATTTTCTAATTTTTTTAAATGTTTGATTTAAAGTTTCAGACTCCAAAGATGAAGGGACTGCTTGTTTATATCACAGTTGAATTCTCTCTAGTAGAGAGCATTTCTGTGACCATTCTTCCCCCATTCTCCCCCTTTCCTTGAAAATCTGTTAGAAAGTGAGATACAGTATGTTGTCACCTCTTCTCTTCCATTTACAATATCTATGCTGCATTATACGTGAGTAGAATCTTGTGTGGGGTTTTTTTATTTGCAGCAGCAAACATCTAAATAAAAGATCTGCAAAGTAACAAAGGATGTGGAGTCAAGTGTTTCTTGTGTGGGGTGTGTTCTATATAAGGTGTACTACTGCTCTTTTAGTTCCTCAGCTTAGCCTGTTAGTCCTTGTGTCTTTAAATCGTAAATCCTTAAAAGCCACACTGACCTATAAAGGTCAGTTACTTGCAGTAACAAAAGTATAACACAGCAGCACTAGTTACAGTTGTATATATGAAGTTTCTGCTGACTGTAACACTACATCCGAGACAAGGCAAATTGCCACAGTAGTTTGACCTAAGCTTGCATTTCCACCAGCACACATGAATAAATGATAAAGTGAGCTAAATTCTTGTCACGTGCTGTACGCCCTATGGATCAGACGTGTTAAAGCTGTCTTACAGCGACAGATGAGAAGGAACTTATTACACCCACACTTAGTCTATCAGCTGTTGTCCCATACTCCTACTGAGGGAGAATTTGTACCTTAACTTTCTAAGCCTCATGATGCAGCACACATTAGAGAGATGTGGCTACAGGCCAATGCTTTTTAGTGGCATGTGAAATAATAGTGGCAGTGTAGATAATTCTGAAGCAGACTTATTAGCATCTCCCCTTTGCAGCAAGCAAAGATAAGCTAGTTTTCAGTTCTGTGTATAAAACATTAACCTCAGAGTGAAAGCACATAACTTTCCTCCTGTAACAGTTATTTTCTCTGAGAAGTATTCCTAGCTGTGACTAAACAATGAGAGTTTGGCTATGCCCAGAAATGGAAAACTGCGTATTGTCTGGCTACTGTTACTTTGTCAGCATAATGCACCTCAAACTGAGACTGTAACTCCTGAAGAAACAGTATTAACCTTATACTCCAACTAGAGACACAAGTTAAAGCCTTTACTTTTTAAGAAATAAAACATTCAGAATGTCACACACTTTCAAATACATAAGTCTATTCCCCAAAAGCCAGAGTGGATGCATTTGCATCATACCTTTCCCCAGACCCGAAGTCTGGGGAAGTTTAAAATATCACAAATGGGGAAGGAAAAGTTGTGTGATAATTTCTCATGATTTAAAGTTTTCCTTATTTGAATGCAGTACAAGTGTAAAGTCCATCCACACGTTTGGGTTGCAGAGCACTTCTTGCCATTGGAGCACTGACTGAGAAACAAGGTCTGTAGAGCCAAACAGTTCCTCTGCAAGAAAGCAAAAGGAAAGGTCAGTTACTTTTCACTAAGCCTTACCCAGCTTCAGGCCCACTTGGACTGGTTAACAAAATAATCTGTTCACCCACTTCTACAGTAATTTCAGCTACTCTGTAGCTCCTAAGGCACTAATTGCAATAAATTGTATTTATACTTTTGAAGTATTATTTACATCCTGTAAACTAGGATTTCTCTCTGAAGATCTCTGCTTGCAGCAAATAAAAAGTTTTTGGTTGTATGACTAGAAGCAGAGGAGCAAGTGTACGCACTATTAATAGCTGAATGGTACAAAATCTCCTGCTTCAGTTCATCTCCAGTACCTTCAGTGCATTACTAGGCTTAGGGCTTGGATCACTTACAAGCAGGTAGCCCCTGCTCTAGCAGAAAGGAAAATGCTGGGTCAGATAATCAGAAAAAGTTCATGAGGAAGCCTGCAAAACACTGACTTATCTCCAGTGATAATACTCCTCTAAAGTGGATATTGATACCCAAACAACATGACTGAGCCTCAATCTTTTTTGAGCCTTTCATCTCAAATACTGAAACCACAGTACTTGCTCTCAGGGAGTATGGGGCTAGGAGACTCTGTTGGTCAGCCTTCAAGTGATAAGGGTTGGACTTGATGATCTCAGAGGTCCCTTCCAACCCAGCTGATTTTATGATCCTGTGATTCTATGATAATACTTCCCTGCTCAACTACGAGGGAACCAGGGTCTATTTAGCAAGCAGAGGATTTTTCAGATGTTTCTCAAACATTTCTCAGCCTTCAGAAAGAAAATTTGCTCTTATGTTAGAACAGAGTCCAAAACTCACACATGCAACAGCCCCTTCTGAGCAAGTTTCACCTTCTGTATTTCATTGATTGGATTGCTTTGTGGATGTAAAATAATAATCACAAACATAAGCAAGGTTGGAGTCTACTAGATCATTAGTTCTTGTGCTTTCTTTTGATGAGAAATCATTTAAAATTAGCCAATTCATAAAAAGCAGTTAAGGGAATAAGTCTTTAAAAATACAGAGAGCTCTGTGGTTGTCTTAGCATGGCTCTGACCTCAAAAGTCACCATGTTAACAAATAGCTTTCCTGAAAATTTCCACTGAAAACCTTGAGGTTCTCCACAGACCTGAACTAAAGCACATGCATCAGTTCTTGCAGGATCAAAGCCCAAGACTACAAGTTGCTTATGACAGAGGCTGGGACTGCATGTATAGGCATATGATAGCAGGTAATAAATAGCATAGAATAATTATTGTTGTTTAGGATGTAAACTAAAAGACCTTTTCCCCAAATTACGTTCAACTTTTAGTGGTAAAGTACTTACTTGTACCGAGCTTGGCTCCTCCTAGGAATCGATCACTTGAGCTGAAAGTTGACTTGTCCCAGACAGTCAAGTGTAGACATGATTGCTGTAGCTGAGCTGGGGTCACACCATCAAAGACAAACAAGTGTTTCCACTGAGGATAGGCTTCTTTCTTCAGGACAGGAGACTTTTGCCTTACCTCTGCTTGGTTTGGAAGGATAAGACAACTTTCCCAAAAAAATAAGAGTTCAGCAAAGTTACTGATTTCTCAACAAGAAAACAGAGTATTTGCAATAATCAACTAAGGCCCTTTGTTTTACCTTAAAGAGCAAAAATGTTTAGCTTAAGTACAAGATAGAACATGGTGCTAGTGTGTTTATTTTGGGACTTGCACCTTCTCCTGCTTGTCATTAATGTGGGTAGGCTCTTCTGGTCTGCTTTAACTTCGCCGTCACTGCCTGCTGAAGGAGTCTTTACTCCACGTGCTGTTATTCAATACTGCCTAAAACCTGTCTTTCAGTAGCTAAAATGCTCACCCATTTCACTAAAGATAGGTGCCACAGCAGGTAAAATAGTGTTATGAGATGCAAGTTTACCCCAGTATCATATTTCTAATGGCATCTGATGCCTGAATACAGGAAAGTAAAATGATCCCACATACAAGCTACTCAGCATACTGAAGAAAAATTCAGTCCCTTCTCTTTCAAAACGTCTGGAATGAAGAGGATAAAAGTTTTCAATGTATCCTAAGCTTTACTTAATTCTGCAAAAGCTGAAACTAGGAATGAAAATACTGTATTTTTTTGCACATGTTTTTCCTCTCCTAATATCTAAAAGCACATACTTAAACTAGTGAACTCTAAGTTTTAATGACATCATTAAATTCTAAATTTCAAGACTGAGAGGGTAGGTGGGACCTGTCACCACTGTGCAAACTGCTGCTGTTCTGCAGGCACTCAAATGAAGCCATTGCAAGGAAGTCTAAGTGTAGACGATCGTAGTTTCAAATGCAGTCTGCTGATGAAATCATGTTAATACATACATTTGCATGGAACACGTGACATTTCCTATTTGTAGTGTTAGGTCTCATACATACCCTTTAACAAAGGAATTCAACACTCCAGCAGGTCTCAGCATGGGCAAGTTCTTAGCCCCAAATATCATAATCTGAAGCTGGCAGTTGGGAACTCCTTGGTCTTTGTTTCCTGAAAAAGGGAGCCCTTATCACATGAAATGCCCAGTCAGTTCAGCTCATAGTTTAAGATGCTGCTATAAGTAGGGGAATGCCTAAGTGGTACTACTCAGATAAGGAGTCATAAGGCTGTACTAGGAATATTTGAAAGATTTTAACATGTTTGTACAGTGTATGATTCACACAAAGAAAACCAAGCAATGAGTAGCATTGTGATTTCTGTCCCAAAGATAAAGCTTTCTGCTGTGTTTGTGAAATGTCAACACAGGACAGTACCCACAGAAACATTTCTCTGGAACAGTCAGAAGCAGGAGAAACAGCCAAACCCATGGTGTGATACTGCTCCTCTCACAGCTCTAGGTACAAAGCAGAGACCCCAATACACAGGCCTGCACAGGGAGGAAGAATTAAAGAAAGCAAGCTGATAACTTTGGGGTCATTTGGAAAAGAAAAAATTATTACACCACAAAGCACCATTTGCTGTAGCTGTTAAAAATCCCACACAGGAATATTACATGGACACATTGCCAGTCCTTTATTGATCTCAATTCTTTTCTAGCCAAGGGATTTACAGAATCATAGAACCATTTACACTGGAAAAGACTATGAATGCTGAAACATTTTATACCTTCAAACTGGAAATTTTTATACTGGGCTGGTACCAAGAGTCTTGCAGACAAGAGGAGCTCACCGCTGTACTGGGTAAGATCATCTTCAGGCTTTTCAAGCTTAAGAAAGGGACATACAGAAGTTTGCATTACTGCAATCATTCTCTTACACATCTTTCTCAGAGCTTATTTGTGTTTGTGACACAAATGGGCTGGATTGACAGCATTCTTCCCTCAATGATGTCAGAAGGGTGATCTTTTTCATAGACTTTACAGCATCTTGCTCTTGAAATACAATTAAGAACAAAAACTAAGAATCACCTTGGGTTTGAGTTGATACCAGTCAAATAACTGCATTGAGTCCTCTTCAAAATTCCATGCTGCCAGTGGAATCACTACTTCCCCCAAAAACACCCTGTATTTGAGTGCTCCCGCATGCCACACAGAGATCTGAAGTTGCCGAGTTCGCAGCTGGGAGTATTCAATCTTGTACTAGAAAGATAAACAGCATTTACAGAGCAATACACAGGATGAATGCAGCCCACAATCATGACCTGCTTACAGGAAGCCCAGGCACAACATGGCTGAAGGCAGATATGAACCATGATGTCTGCGTATGCTTTGCAATCTGCATATTACCCCACAATTTAAATGCTAAATAATGCTCATTCAAATATATATCAACATTCCAGGAATACCTTGACCTACCTTGCTAAAGATTTTGATTATTAATTCAGAACTTTAAATAATTCTTGACCATTTTTTCTGGGTTAGGGGTTTTTTTTCATTTGTTTGGTTTTTTGGTTTGTTTCTTTCTTTTTTTGGTTTGTTTCTTTCTTTTTTTGGTTTG